GAAACATGCCCAGGGGGAGAGGGGGGGGGGGGGGGGGCAGAGCGGACAGTAAAACTCTGTAGCACTTTCTTTGCCATTATTAGGCTTTTTTGAGACGAGCACTGATTGGAAAATTCTTAGGAGTTACGTCTGGGAAACTTAAACTAAGTTTCAACATCGGGCGATAATACATTCAGTATATACCACATAAGGTCTTTCAATGAAAAGGAACGCACGATAGGTCTGATAGTGTCTAAGGAGTAATACTTCGGATTTGATGTAGTATACATTCTTGTATAGTCGATATCAAAATATAGTTCAGAAGTTATAGGAAAAGTGTATATAGCAGGAGGCGTCTGTCTAATGGATCCTATATAATCCCTCCTACAGAAAATCAGTTTATAGTCAATAAATAGTTTAAAAGTCGAGCTATATATTAAGAGAAATTCGATAAAAAGGTATTTGTTATAGTGGACTCCGGTAGGTTAGCGGTTAGTGTTCTAGTCTGGTAGACCGGAGGTGTTGGGTTCGATTCCCACCTGAGGCACTGGTTAAGGAACGCACAACAGGCCCGATAGAGGCCTAGGTGTATTTCTTCGGATTTGATGTATATACATCCTCCTTTAAAACTAACTAACTAACTATAGTTTCCAAAACGTATTTTCTTTGTTCGAGAATTTATTATGGAGTTGACACTCGTTCTGTGAAACGGTTCTGAAACTAATTCCTTAAACAATAATTTTTGTTCGAATTTGTCAATCTCGGAATTAGTTCTAGCGAAGCATCAAAGAATGTCTACGCTTTAGTTATAAACAAATTTTTTCAGCGTTTTCTGTTCGAAATTAGTGAGATTAGGTTTAATGTATAACTAATGTCAAAGAACTATGCCATTGAAAACTCTTTAGAAGTTTTTTAGAACCACAACAATGTTTCGAAGAGAGGGATCCTGGAGTAGTGGCGTTATCACTAGTCTAAGATTGTTGCTTAAGAATGGTTCTTTTTGTACTCGTTCTAGAACAATTTCTAATATTTTTCCTGGGATCAAAACAATTTCAAAAAGATTAACACACAAATCATTATTCACCTCATCAATTAAAATCATTTCCAAATAATTCTAATTTATTTTATTTAATTAACAAATTCAAGTGTGCTCTTATTTCTATTAGAACGTCAAGTATTTTCTAAGAATTCTTAAATTTTCATTGTAAATATTTTTTGTTTAAAAAGAAAAAATAGCAAAAAATTATACAACCAATAAATGCACAAATAACAAACAAACTATAATATATACGAAAATTTACATGACACTAAACTGTTGTTGTTGTTGTTGTTTGCTGCAATTGTTGCTGTTATTGCAATTGTTGTTAGTAATATGTTTAAAAATACAGCAACACGTAAGTCCAAGAGTGATTGAGGGAGGGAGAGGAGGCTATTTTCATTGGCTGTCTAGTGGTGGGTTGTTTTTGGGGTCTGATTTGTTTTCTATTTATTTATTTATTTTTTTCACACAATCATTATCAACATCGTCATAATCATGTTAATCATCGTAATCAACACTTTTGGGAATTTCTGAATGAAAACGTAAGAAAACACAACCAATAATAACAACAACAGTAACGACAATCACAACTAAATATGAATAATTGTTTAATGTTTTCTTTTGTAAATAATGTACTCGTATCTTAAAGATATTACGTTTGAACTGCACAATAATAAAATTTAGAGCTCCCACGATGTTGGAGGGTTTTTTTTTTTTAATTTGTCTGTTTCTCTTTGGTTTTTGTTTTTGCGCAATGCTAAATAAGATTCTCTTAGTTGTTTCATAACAACTAATACTATTGTAGTTGTGATAGTACTCTTTTTTTTTTTTTTGAAATTGTGCTCTTTTTTTTGCAGTCGTTTGTATTTGATTTGGTAACGTTTTTAGAAGCAGAAAAAACACTACAATAAAACGACAATGTTATGTAGTCTTTAGGGTTGCCAAGTCTGAATAATTTAGGTCAGACATGAAGGCTTATAAGAAAACTCCTGAAATTAGTTTCTGACGGACATTGTCAGGAAGAGTGAGACATTTGTTCTATATAGAAGATCAAACCTACCCACAGGGGTCTGATGACTTTATCATCAGATAGACTACAGGAAGAAGGGAAATACATAACCTTTTTTTATCGCAACACTAGCTTTCAGGCGGAAGTTCGCCCGGAAGTTTACACGGAATGGAGCCTGCGGAGAGGACATTGAAACACTGAAAGATTTTATCTGTCAATGACAGGCTTTCGACGAAATTAGATCCGAATATCTTGGGAGTGACGTTATTTCAGATGTTATATCCTATAGGAACACTGATTAGAAAAATTTTAAGATTATACGTCCTGCAAACCGAGTTTTTGAACATTGGACATTGGTATTTCCTTCAATAAATTTTATGTAAAGCAGCGGATCTGATGTAATCATATTCTTTCGATATCGATAGATCATTTAAACAATCTGTTATTGCCAGGATTTCAACGATATTATATCCAAATGTTTTGAGAGCGATTTTATTCTGCTTAGAAACCTTTCAAAGGTCGCTATGTTGGTATTTCCATCAACAATTTCCATGAAAAGTAGCGGCCAAGGTTTACTTTTTCGGATCTGTTTCCACAAGGATGGCTCTAAGCTGGAATATAGATCTATTATGAGGATTAAACAATGACCTATAGATGTCTAAATGGTAGATCATTTAAACAAAAGCATATGCAGTATATTTTGTCGAAAACAGATATGACCGTCTCGGACATAACTGGCCGTTATATGGGAGACTTGACAAATTTTGAAAGAATTCGAGAATTCAAAATTACGGTTAAATTCAGACTGGTTTTGTCCATATCCATCAAAATAATTACAAGCATTAAATTTCAGTGGTGAATCTCATATTGTTCACATATTCTTCATACTCTCTGATTCTGTATGATGTATTTTACTATTTTATTGAGTCAATCAGTGTTAACATTAATGGACTTGCGGTAACTGTTTTAGCATTTATAATTTGGGAAAAATAAATTTTCCAGAGTTCTGTCTTTCTGATGATTCATAAGCTACTGAAGCAATTGCTTTAATATTTTTATTAAATTTCCCAAAAACCGTGAACAAGAAAATTTAGAATTCTTAATACAACCGGATATAGGCGGATGTAGGTCAAGTCAGCAGTGTGTACTCATCAGTATATACTCTATCGAATAACAGAGATAGAAATGATCGGAAATTATGAGACATTGATCCTAGATAGTGACTCATTTTCAAAGCATTACATCTAACAGCCGCTGTAATTTGTTGCCATATGAATGGCTCTAAGCTTTGAGTATATATTAAAAACTCAGAAACCAGGTCATAACACTACATTACAGAAAAACTTGTGTTCAAATAAAGTTTTACGAGAGTTATTTGCACGACATCCTATAAAAGATTATCGTAAGAGCCTGATGAGCTTATTTATTTATATTTTCTATTATGGATCCCATTGAACCGTATTGGATTTTATGAAAACTTTAACAAACTTCCAACTTTAACAGAATACTTTCCCATAGGTAAGGTTTACATCATATAGATACCCGGCCACTCGTAAGTAGTCGGCAACGAAAGAATAATAATCAGAATAAAGAAACGGTGGGTAGAACCACAAAGATCCTATGGGGTGATCCTAACGAGAGCATGTCTGATGTTACTATGATGGTACGTATTGTGAGTGGCATGTCATAATGTCCAGTGACATAATAGTGTCCATGGACGTTATGAAAATTTCAAAAGTGTCACAATGTCAGTGAGCATAATGACATAAAGTCCATGGATTTCAAAGAGCCCATTTATCAAAAAAAAAAAAAAAATTTAGCGAAGCCGGTATTCGTAATACCCTAGAGTTTAAAATCCATGCTCGACCGAAGGCCGGCTATTCAGGACATTTTTTAAAGGAATCCAAAACGCAACCTACATCAAATATCGGAGCAATTCTTTTCAGGATAAGAGTGTCCCTTTCCTAAATTCTAAATAAATTTTCTAATACATTTTTGTTTTAGAAGTGTCATAATGTCCATGGACATTATGATACTTTTAAGAATTGCCATAATGTCCATGGACAATATGACACTTTTTGGTGTGTCATAACGTCCATAGACATTATGTCACTGGACATTATGACACGCCACCATATAAAATTGGACGTGCGGATTCAGATGAATATAAAGAATGCAGAGAGAACACTAGAGCACTTTCATTGCCATTGTCAGGCATTTCTAGAAATTAGATCGAAATATCTAGGGAGTGATATTATTTCGAGTGTTAGACCCCTCACTAACACTGATTGGAAGATTCTTAGAAATTACGTCCAGGATTGTGAGTTTCTGAACATCAAAGTCAGTGAATATTATATTATGTTTTTGTTTTTACCAACAAATATTTTCTATCAAATGGAACGCACAACAGGCCCATAGGTGCCTAGGTGTATTTCTTCGTATTTGGTGCAACATACATACTCCAATCAATATAATCATTTGGGCCCCAATTTCCGAAATAGAAGATGGGCGTAAGTCAAATTATAAATAGACTTTGGTATTGCTTTCGAATTGCTTTCTACTGTTAAACACTTTATCTTCCTTTTCCGGGAATTCCAAGGAATCCTCACCATTTAGCAGTTTCCTTGCATGTTTTCTAAAGTTCTAATTACTGGCAACACTGGTGTGAACTCTTTTCAGTCCATGTCACTTCACCTCTTACCTAAAAAATCAACAGTTTACACTGCCTATGCATAGGTGTGAGTGAGCACAAATATGAGTGATTGAGTGTGTGTGCGTATCTGTGTGTTATGTGTTGTGTGAGCGCGTAGTGATTTTGTAACTGTTTTTTTGTTTCACGCAATCCAATCAGAATTTTTTTTTGTACCACCAAAACACTTGCATAATTTTTTTGTTTCGTGTTTCTTTCAGTTGAAAGATATTTTTCACTGATGAGTTTAATAAAACAAACTATTTTTCTTGATGGGAAATTACCTTGTTTTTTTTTTTTTGTTTGATTTTCGCTGGTTAAATTATCTGTTTTTAGCCACAATTTTGTTTTTATGATTTAGTTGTTTGCAAATGATGACTTTTTTTATATAAACAGGCCTTAAATTGTAGCGATTCTAATTGAAACACTTTTGGGCGTAACTTGTTTTGTAAGATACTTTTTTACGTAACTACTTTGAAATTTTTTCTTGTTGTTTTTAAAATTTTTGCGACATTTATTTAACAATTCATTTAAGATTGTTGACGTTTTATTTTTTTTGCACTTTTATTTCAAGGAAATTTTTAAATTTATTAGAAAATTTACAAAAAACATGGATTTTTTGCAATATTATTTATTTGCTTTATTTTTTTACGTACAAAATACAATAGATTTTGTTTTTTTTTTTTTCTCAGATTTTATTTCTTTTCTTCTTTTTTAGCACTAAAACACAACGCGTACGAGATTTTTTTTGTATCTCCACAATTATTATAAAATCAACGGCGAGACAGACGTGTTTTTCTTTTTCTTTTTAAAAATTTTTTTCTTTTATTTTCAATGTGTTCAAAAGTTTAGCGCGCGAAGCCAAATATACAATAAGTTTTTAGCTTCAAGTCACCGCCGCTGTTAAAAAGCGAATGAATCTGAACGTTCAATTTGAAAATTGTCTGAGTACAAATTCCTACAATGTATTCGTTTGGATAGCGTGGTTGCTCCCATTCTCTTTTTTTTTCTTTTTGTTTGGATCCCTGCAATAAATTGTCTCTTATTTGCTACCGATTCAATGTGTGTGTGTGTGTGTGTGTGGAGTATCTGTGTGTGTCTATCTCTTCTCACCCAGAGTCGTTATTGTGTGTTTACATTTGCACAGTGACTGTTGATTGCCGATTATGTCACTACAACACAAATTGAGTTTCGAAACAGCTCAGTGTGTGTTAAACAGTAGAGAGTGCTGCTTATAACACATTTTTACTTATTTTGTTGCTTTCTTGGCTTTTAGTATCGTTTGAGACAAGGAAAGTGTTGCCAGAAGATGTCGGTTTTCACGTAACAAAGTTATTAATTTTTGTTGTAAATTACCAAATCTTACATTTGCCAGCGTAATTAGGAAACTTTGGTCCAAAAAATATTCATAATAGTGTTCGAAATTGAGCTAGTCATTGAATTATCTATAAATTTGCTAATTGAAGTGCAATAGATAAGAGGTCAATGCTCTCTCAATGATTAAAATCCCCAGATGTTATTTTAAGAAGAGTGTTATCGTCAAAAATTTGAACTCAGACATACTAATTGGCAAACAGAAGCTATATTTATCTTTTGTGTTAAATTTATAAAATATAATAAAAACTAACAAATAGTTAGATTGACTTTAAAAATGACAATATCTTCAGATCTTTTCAAAGGAAAATTCAACTCCATCCGATCTAGTTCGCTTAAAAATAAATTTGCATTTGATACCTTATGTTGTCACCTCTCACTGAGTCACCTTCTTCAAAATCATACAATACTAAGGTTAGATTGAAGAGGAGAATGCTATAAACATCGTATCATAAAGATAAAACAAGCCCCAAGGGAGCCAGTTGTGTGCTTCTTTATATGTATTTTTATTGGAGGGTGAATCACCCTTAAAGAAAGAGTGCAGTCTGATGTTTCAGAAAGCCTATCTAATTCTTCAAAGTTGTCCAATAAATATTCCTTAGGGATGAATGTCAAAGTGCTAGGTGAGCTTCTTTGTCGACTCACCACTGCCCCATTGTGTATATTATACGTAGATGGCAATTTTTGTACATGGTTCTGCCGGTCCATGTACAAACACTTTGATCAAGTACTTGAGCTATCCAATCTATTGCAATAGAAGCCCCGTTGGGGAATGATAGGTGTCATGAGTCAAGCTTAATCTAACCCATACAAAGGAAATGACAATCACTGGTTAGAGCCGATAGAAGTGGCGGACCCAAGATCAGGTGTAAACACCCTACTGATGCAATGAGGAATGTCATGTCCCTACAAACATTTTCATCATCTAAAGACTCATCCCGGTACATTACTAGACCTCTTAAAGTCGCTATTGATGCAATGAGGAATGACATGTCCCTACAAACATTTTCATCATCTAAACACTCATACTAGTGCATTTCTAGACCTTTTAAAGTCGGCCAACCCCACTACTGAGATGGCTCTGTTATTTCGGCAACAGCACCTAGGGACGTAATTGGTGGTTCGAAAACATATTTAATTAGACAGATTTATTTCAGTGGCCACAAGGACTTAGTGTGATAAGTTGAGCAAGTTTAGAATAAACTCCAACACACTCAACCATGATGAAAATCGCCGATAAATTAAAGATTAAGATATCAACAACACCGCCAACGTCTCAATATACTCCTTCGCCACTTCAAACGTCACTCCATCCGCCATTTCGACATATCCACAGATACAACTCAAAATCCCTCTCATCCATCTGATACAAGCATCCGATGGTACACCACACACTAATGCATACCCAATCTTTGCATTACTTATCAGCTCAAATTCAACATTTTCTTAATCCGCAGCCTTACCCTGTGGTTTGTACCGCTCCTTGAAATTAGAAGCGGTAACAGAAACATATCCCGAAAATTTATATTTCTTCGTGTATCAATCTTTTAACCAACCCCTTCCCGTGAATTTGGGTTTAAACCTCAGGATCCCGAAAGAAACTCAACCAACTGACCAGCCATGACCAGCAGACTAGAGGAGACTAGAGACCCGGGATTGCAATACACCAAGGTGGGTTCTTTCATAAAGGAAATATGCCCCGGGGGGATTCCTTAGGGATGTCATATCCGGTGTTACAACGCTCTTTAAGTGTTTGGAAATAATTTCGAGAGAGACCTTACAGAGAAAGTGTTCCAGTTATTCCAGACTTTTCATTCTGATCTCGTTTGGGATACCCCATATAATTTTGTGCTTCCTTGTGATTGAATTGCCTATGATTTTAAATACGCTCTGGTTGGTTCGAATATACAAATACAGAGCTTGTCACTTTCCGTAGCCGAATGAAAATTCTGCCACAGTTCATTCCAATTCTATCCCGTTCTATTTCTCATATTACAGCTGACCATGTAATAGCAAACTCTCACGGATATGTTCCATTTTACATTGATTCATTATTGGGTCAATGTTTCACAATTTTCCACCATTTCTGTGTTTTTTATTCGATATATATATATCCGCCTTTAATTAATTCGCCTAGCGAAAGCTTATCGAAGTACTAAGAGATGAATTAAAAATATGTATGTTTGTATGTATACAAGTTGTATTATTTAAATATTTTGGATCCATCAAGCTATGGTCTCCGCCGCAAAAAAACAAGTCTCAGATACCATGTTCTGATGTGAAGCATCTTTCACTGAGAGCTTACTGCATCGATCCAAACATATAGTAGATGTTAAACCTTCCGTAATGCTATAGTATTTAACAGTTCTTTGTGTGTCTTGCACCCACATGCAGGTGGCAATTTTTGTACATGGTTCCGCTGGTTCATGTACAAGCACTTTCCTTAAGTACTCGAGCTATCTAATCTCTTGATCATTGCTGCTGCGTGGCGTAACTTCCGAGATGAAAAAAACATCACTTTCGTTTACAACCACGCAGATGGTCTCTATTGATTCGACAACAGCACCTGCTAAAGACAAATTCTGACTCATGGTGGTGGGAAGGATTGGTATCACTCGTATAAGATACCTTTCACCTACCACCATTCAATCCGATACACTTCGCATATATCCGATACATAAATTGATAAAACATGCAAAAATCTTACCCTACGTATATCGGTGGATTGGCCCAGAAACTCTAGTTCGTATAATGTCCAGTGTAGTTCGTATAATGTCCAGTGTACCAACTCATTTTCAACGCTAAGTACCATAGTCACTTCTCTACGGGATATCTTTTGTCTCGTATAAAGCAGAACTTATCCCGTGATATAGATTTTACTGTGTATCAGTCTTCAAACTAACATTCTCTTTTCCCGATTTTGGTTTAAAGAGCCACCACGTGCATCGTGAAAGGATCTCTCCAACAACCGGGACAAGACAAAGTCCGAAACTCTACCCTCTGGACTACCGTTTCGCGTAATACCAGATGTATGACTCCCTGGTTCGACCCCAGGTCAAATGTTACCAAAGCAGGGTCTATACAGATTTAATAGCTTTTAAGGACTACTTTTTTGTCCACTTGATGACTTACACCGAAGTAGATCTCCTCTTGCAAGTCCTATCAAAGCCAACGACCAGATAAGAATATAAAGCTAAAAATTCCCATTCTAAAGCCAAATTCGAGAGAAAATTCAAGTTGGAAGAGGTAAAATTTTCTACATTTTTCGACTTTTAAATGGTCATTTATATTAAAGTTTAAAAAAACTAATTCAAATTTTGAAATTACCATCATATGGCATCACTCTCTCTATTTAAGTTGTGTTTTATTTGTTGGTTGTATGTTACGTCACACATAAACCGCTTGATGTTTTTTCGTTGTTGTACTAGTTGTTGCTGTATTTAAATTTTAATATTTGTTGTGTAAAGAGTATTGTGAAATTCAAAGAAAACATACACTCACAGCCACAACAAAAATCGTATTAATTTCGTTCAGCAATGAACGTTCTCTAATTCAATGCAGTTCCATAACAAAAATGTGTCTTAACAAAATTCTCTTTGAAATATTCCGTCTATGGGCTCTCTGTGAAACTGTTAGATACATTTCGTGTTTACTTAACATTTTAGCTCTTTCACTTATTTTGCTTCCCATTAACTGTTTGTTAAATTACCGGCTAAATTTTCGATCGGCTTTATAAACAAAAAATATAAAAAAAAACGAATTTGTTTGGATGAGAAATTTCTGTTGTGGTTTATTTAATTTATTTAAATTTTTTTGTTCATTTTAACCAAGCAAACAAACTTTGAGTTTGATTATGATGATTATAACGTGGTGGGAAGAAATCTTACAGTTCATTTCTGTGCATCGTTTGGGTGAGGAAGATGGTGGTGTCAATGGGAGATTATCATGTCGACACGTTTTCTGTGGACCCAATGACAAAATTAGTGAGTTTGCAAATCTTTAAGAATTATCTGCAATTGCTTGTCATAGTCATCGTTTTATTTATTTTAATTTGCTTTTACTCATCAGCCACTTGGTGTCTTTGTCTTGTATTTTCTGTTTGTTTTGAAAAATGATTGATCAAAAACAAGTATAGAGATACATATGTAGATAGATATTCGTTTGTACACCCACCCATGCATAAACTTGTTAAATATTTTCAATTTAAAATTCAAATTTGCAATTCATACATAAGAGTCACTCAACAAATTGTGCCATAATTATTAACTAGATTAAATTGTCATTTCGGTGCATTATTTAAAATACTTTAATGCTTTAAAAATAGTTATTCATTTGGAATAAGTACATAAAAAGAAAAAAAAAATACAAGTAAGAGTGCTATATTCGGCTATGCCGAATCCGATATACCCACCATCAAACCGTGAGCCGTAAAAGGAGAGAAGGCTCGCAGAAGACTTAGTTATGTAAAATTTAATTTCTATACTCGTATTTTTAAGCCAGTAGTGAGCATTAAAGTAGTTTTCTG